ATGTGCCACTAACACAGGGTCCATCTTGTCCCTGACCTCCATGAAGTGTTTGCATTTGTCACAGCATCAGAGTTATCTGGGCTTTGTTTTTGCATACTCGTTTTCCCATTGTTTGCTCTCGCACTGCTGTTTTCTCATCTCTTGTTCCTGCATTGCTTCTTCCCTATTTCTTGAACTTTGTCCCATGCAGTTTTATGGTTTTTGCCAGCTGCCAAGGGTATCATAATAAGCACAATGAGAATAACCAATCCCTGGTGTATTAATCCTTCTCCTTGAATGTTCCTAAGTCCCCTTTCTTTCCAAATTTTTCTAGAAGTGTGTACTACTCCAAAAGCCTATTTCAAGTCCAGCTATATAGTCCCTTCCCAATCCTTTAACAGCAACACACAGAATAATGCAAGCCCAGGACGGGCTAAGGGGACCAGATTCCTTTCCCTGTAGTTTTTCTCCACTAATTATAGCATTCCTAGATTTTCTTTTCCCATCTATCACTCTAGAAGGATCTATCTGATCCTTCTAGAAATAATTTTGCTCCTCTTTGTAACTCCTGTTCTCTTAGATCTGGATGCATTTTCTGTTTGTAGCTCTATGACCTCTGTGCAGTCATGCATTAGTTCCTCCCCTGGGACCCCGCAGAGAAACTGATTATATTTTATTTTATATTTGTCATTCTCAGCTCTAATTCAGGGGAGGTTATTCTGTATTTCAACACTAACGGACTGAATGTTTAACTCTCCTGTTTCACCAGAATACCAGAAAGTGTCACCAATCTCCAGATTATAAATTTTCTTTCACTGGGGGGCTTTGTTATCCTAATTCCTAGGGCTATTATTAGATCCCTTCCTAACAAATTATTTCCAGCCTCTGGTAATAACAATAAGTCATTTACCCCAAATTTTTCATCTGATTCAATTTGTACATTTTTAATCACAGGGACTTGGAACGGTTCTCCCCCGACTCCAATTACTGAGATGCATTCCTGACTTAATTTGCATCCCTGAGGTAACTTTCTTATGGTGGTCCTAGAGCCTCCTGTATCTACTAAAAATATTATTTCTTTATTGTGAGGACCAAGTCTTAATTTTATCCAGGGCTCTTTTGGTGTTTCAGTCCTCATTAAATAGAGTCCCTGACACCCCTACTCCTCCCAAAATCTCTTTTTATCCTGCTTCCTTTTCCTGCAAAATTTCCACAGGTGTCCCTTCTCGTGGCAATAGAAACAGGTGGGTCTCGAGTCACTAGGGGTAGAATTTAGATTACCCTGATGTCTCAATGCTTTTGTGGATCCTTCGGTGTTAGTACCCTTCTGCATTTTTCTCCTTGTTCTCATTCTCTCTCTCTACTCCTTTCCCTATACTTGACCCTCATACACTTACATCTCTGCACACAAACAGTTTCTGCACTTTTTCTACAACTTTTTGTAGCTCTTGCTCTAAATTTTCCAAGTCATCTGCGACAACTGTTTGTAGCTCTTGCTCTAAATTTTCCATGTCATCTACTACAACTGTTTGTAGCAAAATTTCCACAGGTGTCCCTTGTCGTGGCAATAGAAACAGGTGGGTCTCGAGTCACTAGGGGTAGAATTTAGATTACCCTGATGTCTCAATGCTTTTGTGGATCCTTCGGTGTTAGTACCCTTCTGCATTTTTCTCCTTGTTCTCATTCTCTCTCTCTACCCCTTTCCCTATACTTGACCCTCTTACACTTACATCTCTGCGCATAAAGAGTTTCTGCACTTTTTCTACAACTGTTTGTAGCTCTTGCTCTAAATTTTCCAAGTCATGTAAAATGTCCATTATGTCTCCCCAAGACCTAAAAGCTAATGCAAACCTCTTAAAAAGGTCGCAACAGTTAAAATCCACAGGTGTCCCTTCTCGTGGCAATAGAAACAGGTGGGTCTCGAGTCACTAGGGGTAGAATTTAGATTACCCTGATGTCTCAATGCTTTTGTGGATCCTTCGGTGTTAGTACCCTTCTGCATTTTTCTCCTTGTTCTCATTCTCTCTCTCTACTCCTTCCCCTCTGCTTGACCCTCATACACTTACATCTCTGCACATAAACAGTTTCTGCACTTTTTCTACAACTTTTTGTAGCTCTTGCTCTAAATTTTCCATGTCATCTACTACAACTTTTTGTAGCTCTTGCTCTAAATTTTCCAAGTCATCTCATATGTCCATTATGTCTCCCCGAGATCTAAAAGCTAATGCAAACCTCTTAAAAATGTCGCAACAGTTAAAATTTCACTGCCATCCCCAGGGGGCTGTCCTGGAGCATTGCTCCCCGCCCCGCTCAGAAACCCCCTTGGTTCTGACTAACCCCGGAGCCTCCCTCCTGAGCACTCGCTCCTAGGTACAACAGCCACCTCTCTTGCCCTAGTTTCTGCCAGGTGAATGACCAGGAGTTCTGGTACCCGGGAAATCCTCACTGGTGAAGTGACAATACTTGCTCGTCTCTTGTCAGCCCCTTGCTCCCGCCTGATTCCACTCACCCCGATGTTCTCCCGCCTCTCACTCTTTCTGGCTTCAGCCTCCGCAATCCTCCTTTCTCACTCAACAAGCCCTTTTTTAATGACTTTTGCTAAAACTAAACCACGCTCACCTTTCGACAGGCACAACACTGGGTTAGCACACCTGCTCCCCCCCGTCCCAGGAATTACAGCGCCGGGTCAGAACACTTCACGCAACACTCGCTTCCCTCCTCAGCCGGCCGAGCCCCGCAGGACTGCGGCTGCCGCGGCCCTCGGAGCGTGAGCGCACGGCGCCGCAGCTCTGCACAGACACAAACGCGAGCACAGCTGCCCGCGCCCCACCCAGCCTCGGGACGCTCACAGCCTCCTTTTCTCATCAGGATTTCTGCGCACACACAAGTTTTCTGGCTGCTCTCACCTTTAGCTGGCACTCTTAAGGGAGCCCCTTGCACGCTCCCTACCGCAGCTTCTTTTGCTTGTGCTTTGTCATAACTGGGACTCCTTCTCCAAGGGAGTCTGGTCTAACCTCGGGACCACCTAAAAACTGGTGTGGAGCTCCTTCCCAAGGCCAGCAATCCTTCCCCAGGGCTGGAGTTCGCGGGTCTCGGCACCAAATTGTTATGAATGAGATTCTTATGTCTAATTCATTAAACCACAAAATTAAAATTCAGCAGCAATTTTAATTGAGCAGGATTTTATAGAAAATAATACAATTAAATGTAATCCAGCAGATACAAAAATAAATTTGGCAGTGGTTTGGATAAAGCATAAGGAAAACCCATTGGTCGGGGTATGGGGAAGGCTTCTTATGGAATTCAAAGTGGCCCCCGTGGCAGGGAGAAAGGATGAGGAGGACTCCATTTTATCAGAAGGCTAATTAATTACTTCATTATACTATATTATTTTATATTATATTACACTATATTGCATCTAAAGCGAATCTGCCAAGCACTCATCTCTGCACACAACTGCACTCCACTGCCCAGAATCTCGTGACTCTCGTGGCTGTCGGCCGACAGTCCCGACACACATTTACCCTCTTGGCCCTGACAGGCCGAGGAAACAGAGCACCATCACTGTGGGCAAACAATCTCCACATTGTGAATCTCAGGAATCCTCGGGAAGAATTGTGCCTTGCTTTTCTCTGTGAAGAGAAACGTGGCGACGCCTTCCCACCCTGCCTCCCGTACAAAGGCAAAAGGATCCAAACACAACTGATATACTGTACCCTAATACATATTCATCAATATTTTCCCATAAATCTCCTCCTATTTTCAATTCTTAAAATCTACCTCACTACACTGCACAGTGCGTGCTCTGCTTGTTGCTCAGGGGTCTTTTGGCTTTTCGGGGTCGTTTCTGACGAAGGCTTCTCCTCATCCTCACTGTCCTTTGAACAACCCCGCAGCTCGCACATGCGCCCCAAGTCTTGTGGCACAGAAGCCAGCATTATATTCCAAAAAGAAGCCTTATTGCTTCATAGATATCTGGAACCATCCCAGTTTTGTCCATCCCAGGGCCGGTTCTGCTCTGGGAGTCACGCCAACTTTGTTCGTCACAAGGCCGATTCTGTTTTAGGACATTGCTTATCTCAATACTCCATCCCGTACCCAGTTTTCTCATGAACATCTGAGAACATCTCTTTCGTGACACTAATTACACATCCTTTTCGTCTATTACTTTTTAACAAATATTCTCTAAAATACCGATATAGTTGCAATTCTTAGCACGAATCATACTCATCACAACCTAATAGGCTGAAAAACATTTATAAGATGTTGTAACCAGGAAAGTAGTTAGCTTTAATAGAGTAACATGGACTATTCAATCTCTTAGATCTCACTCTTCATCAAGACTGATAATAAAATCAAATCTTTTAAAACCCCTCCGCGTCACCCCGTCAATACAGAAATAAAAAACCCAACGTGTAGCCCTACCCTGCCCGCCGATGCCCCTACACCTCGCTAGTTTTGTCCATCCCAGGGCCGGTTCTGCTCTGGGAGTCACGCCAACTTTGTTGGTCACAAGGCCGATTCTGTTTTAGGACATTGCTTATCTCAATACTCCATCCCGTACCCAGTTTTCTCATGAACATCTGAGAACATCTCTTTCGTGACACTAATTACACATCCTTTTCGTCTATTACTTTTTAACAAATATTCTCTAAAATACCGATATAGTTGCAATTCTTAGCACGAATCATACTCATCACAACCTAATAGGCTGAAAAACATTTATAAGATGTTGTAACCAGGAAAGTAGTTAGCTTTAATAGAGTAACATGGACTATTCAATCTCTTAGATCTCACTCTTCATCAAGACTGATAATAAAATCAAATCTTTTAAAACACCTCTGTATCACCCTGTCAATACAAAAATAAAAAACCCAACGTGTAGCCCTACCCTGCCCGCCGATGCCCCTACACCTCGCTGGCCCGGCTCGCCGCTCCCCCAGCCCTGAGGGGCACCGGGCCCGGCCGCCCGGCTCCGGCAGCGAGGCCTCTCCTCACGCCCCGGGCCGGGCCGAGCCGCCATGGCCGCGCGGGCACCGAGCCCGCGCCACAGCGCCCCCTGCCGCCGCGGGGCAATCACCGCCAGCGCCCCTGCCGGCCGAGCCCGGAACTGCACCGCGGGGAAAGCGCTGCGGCCGGGAGAGGCCGGGCCGGGCCGGGGCTGCTCGGGCAGCGCTGCGCCGGGGTTGTTATGCCAATAAAGGACTGCTGTTCTTGCTCCCGTGTCTTTGCCTGAGAGCCCCCTAATTTCAAAATTAAAATCATTCGGAGGGAGAGGGTGTACATTTTCCATTGCCAGGGAATGGAAATGAAAAATTTTCATCCTTAGCAGATCCCTGTCCTTCAAACCAAAACACCCCCATCCCTCTGGGCCACTGTGTGGGGAGGAGGGAGGGAGGGAATCGGGGATGAAGTGAAACCCAGGAAAGAGAGAACTGTGTGGGGAAGCTGCATTTTTAGGCTTTGGTGCACTTCTCATTCCCTTGGGCAGATTTTTTTGATAATAACTTCAGTTAAAATTAATTTCCCCAGTCTGGGCCTGTTATACCCATGATGTGTGGGAGATCTCTCGGTGCCTCTGCTGAGAGCCGGGAGCCTTTCCTGCTGTGTTCTGTTGCCTGCCCAGGGGCAGCAGCAGAGGCACAGAGCGGTTTTGCTGCCCCGGGCCCTGGCCTGGCCCGGCCCAGCCCAAGAATCCCTGCCATCATTCCCTGCACCATGACCCGGCCCCACGGCGGCTCCGGGAGTTCAGAGGGGGCAAAATGGGAGCGAGGGAGAGCAGGCAGCTGCTGCCAGTGGCTGAAATGGCTTTGCTGCCAGCTGGCAGGGAGGAGGGGGAGGAGGGAGAAAGTGGAGCAAAGTAAAGGGGAGAGAAAGAGGGACAAGGCTGGAGCGGTGGAAGGCACCGGGGATGGCCATGGGGCAGGCGGGCATTTTGCTTTCCAGCTCCGTGGGAGGAAACCAAGAGCTGTCAAATCCATGCAGGAAAAGAGGGGAGAAATAGCAGGTGGTGGAAATCTCTGACAACTGGGATTGATTTGATCTGCCTGAACTGCACAGGCCGGCAGACCCCGAGCACCGCCCGCGCTGGGATGTGCCTGGCCCTGCCCCTGCCCTGCCTGCAGCCTGGGCCTGTTGGGATGGCCCCTTGTCTCTAAAGGAGCTGCACCGAGGGACAGTGAGGTGCTGCTGCAATAAGATTCAGAGAATAAAATAAACAGAATAAAAAGCTGCACCACCTCACCTCCTCCACCTGGTAACATTAAAAGTGATGCATTGAGGCACCATCGGGGCAGGGTGCAGGTTAAAAAGTGTCACAGGAAAGGCTGGGATATGTAAAGGGAATACAAGACAGAGAATGGTAAAATATTCTAAAAACACATAATGAGTGGTAAACACTGCTGTAGTGTGACTAAAACCAGCTGTATCATGGGTCTGTCAGTCACCAGGAACGGGCGTTGTGCTTCCTCATTCTCTGAGTAGCGGCCAGATCATAAGAGGCCCAGAGGGAGTGCAGGGAACAGGAACACACACCAGCCGATGGAGGAGATTATTCAGAGAGTTCCTCAGGAACCAGACCTTTAAACAAAGGACTTCTGGAAAGATGGGCATGCTTCAAAACAGAGACCTTGAGGGCACAGGAGCAGATTGTCCCTGTGTGCCCAAAGAGGAGTCAGCGAGGCAAACATCCAGCCTGGATGGGCAATGAGGGTTTGAAGGGACTTAGGAATAAAAGGAGGATGTATCAGCTTTGGAAGGAGGGTCAGGTTTCTCAGGCAGCATTTAAGGGGATTGCTATGGTATGTCAACAAAAAAATTAGGGAGGCAAAAATTCAGTTTCAACTTAATCTGGCAACTTTTGTAAAGGATAATAAAAAATGTTGTCACAAATATATTAATGGTAAAAGGGAGGGTAAAACCAGCTTCCAGCCATCTGGAACCTCCCCAGTGAGCCAGGGCTGTTGGGAAATGATGGAGAGCAGCTTCCCAAGCTCCTCTGCCAGTCCCTCATCCCCCTGGGGTGGATCCCATCTGGGCCCATGGATTTATGAACATCCTCCTGATACCACCAAATATCGAGAAACTGTAATTTCACGATCACCGTGCACCAGGAGGCTCCAACCAGCACAACTCCCACCAGCCCATCACCATTCACAAACAACAGAGGTAATATATTCCCTTCTCTGGAAGGCTCACTCACCAGCTGTCACTCACCAGCTGTTACTCACCAGCTGTGTTATTCCAAACATCCTGAATGCCCTGGATACCGACCAGGTTCCACCGGCACTGCGTGGCCTCCCTCCAAAGCGCTCTCTGTGCAGTCGCTCCCGCCCAGGCTCCCCCAGCCGCCTCCTCGTGCAGGGAACAGGAACACACACCAGCCGATGGAGGAGATTATTCAGAGTTCCTCAGGAACCAGACCTTTAAACAAAGAACTTCTGGAAACATGGGCATGCTTCAAAACAGAGCTCTTGAGGTCACAGTAACTGTCCTGTTAACTGTCCTAACAGACTGTCCCTTTGTGCCAAAAAATGACTCAATGAGTCAAACATCCAGCCTGGATGGGCAATGAGGTTTTGAAGGAATTTAGGAATAAAAGGAGGATGTATCAGCTTTGGAAGGAGGGTCAGGTTCTCAGGAAGTATTTAAGGGGGTTGCTATGGTATGTAAAAAAAAATTAGGGAGGCCAAAATTCAGATTCAATTTAATTTGGCAACTTTTGTAAAGCATAATAAAAAATGTTTTCACAAATATATTAATGATAAAAGGAAGGGAAAGACCAGCTTTTTATCTCTTTTGGATGCAGGAGGGAACTCAGTAAGTGCAGATGAGGAGAAGGCAGAGGTGCTCAGCGCCTTCTTTGCCTCGGCCTTCAGTGGGAACACAGCTTGTCCTCAGGACAAGTGTCCTCCTGGGCTGCTGGATGGTGTCAGGGAGCAGAATGGGCCCCTGCTATCCAGGAGGAGGCAGCCAGGGAACTGCTGAGCTGCTTGGATGTTCATAAATCGAAATGATGGAGAGCAGCTTTCCAAGCTCCTCTGCCAGCTCCCTCATCCCCCTGGGGAATGAATCCCATCTGGGCCCACGGATTTATGAACATCCAAGCAGCTCAGCAGTTCCCTGGCTGCCTCCTCCTGGATAGCAGGGGCCCATTCTGCTCCCTGACACCATCCAGCAGCCCAGGAGGACACTTGTCCTGAGGACAAGCTGTGTTCCCACTGAAGGCCGAGGCAAAGAAGGCGCTGAGCACCTCTGCCTTCTCCTCATCTGCACTTACTGAGATCCCTCCTGCATCCAAAAGAGATAAAAAGCTGGTCTTTACCCTTCCTTTTATCATCAATATATTTGTGATTACAATTTTATTATCCTTTACAAAAATTGTGAAATTAATTTCAAACTGAGCTTTGGCCTCAATAATTTTTTTTCCCTACATTCCCTAGCAGCTCCCTTAAATATTTTCTGAGAAACCTGACCCTCCTTCCAAAGCTGATACATCCTCCTTTTATCCCAAGTTCCTTCAAAATCTCGTTGCCCATCCAGGCTGGATGTTTGCCTCAATGAATCATTTTTGGCACACAGGGACAGTCTGCTCCTGTGCCCTCAAGGTCTCTGTTTTGAAGCTTTCCCACCTTTCCTGAACTCCTTTGTTTTCAAGGGCTGCTTCCCAAGGAACTTTCTAATTAAGTCTCCTAAGTAGGCCAAAATCTGCCCTCAGAAAGTCTAATGTGAAAACTTTATTGATGTTCCTCCTGATACCACCAAATATTGAGAACACTGTAATTTCACTACCACCGTGCACCAGGAGGCCTCCAACCAGACAACTCCCACCAGCCCATCTCCATCCACAAACAACAGATCTAACGAAGTTCCTCCCCGCCAGGCTCACTCACCAGCTGTGTTATTCCAAACATCCTGAGTGCCTTGGATACCGACCAGGTTCCACCGACCGGCACTGCGTGGCCTCCTGCCAAAGCGCTCTCTGTGCAGTCGCTCCCGCCCAGGCTCCCCCAGCCTCCTCCTCGCCGCACCGCCCCTCGCTGCTTCCCGGCGCTGTTTGCCCAACAGAGCCAAAACCCTCCCAGGCCGACATCGGCTGCAGCCTGCGGCGGCAGCGGCCGCGCCCGCGGTGTCCGGCCGGGAGCGGAGCGGGAGCGGCGGCGCCCGGAGCCCGGCGGCGGCTCCGGCCCAGGTGGGACCCGCGGTCGGTGCTGCCCCAGCCCGGGGCTCGCTGCGGGCGGAGGGGCCGCGCTGAGGGGCACGGGGGGTTCTGGCGAGTTCCTTGTGCGGGTTTGCCCGTTCACAGGTGTGAAAAACAGAATTCACTGCTTAGAGTACTATTATTTTTATTAATAACAATAACTTCTCAGGAGAGGAAAAATCCCAGCAAAGGATTTTCAGAATATCATGGCTACACAGTATTTCCAGCACTGGGGAGCTCCTGACCAACCGCCAAAGAACACATCGGTGTATACAAACAGTGTTATCTTTATACTGTTACATCGCTGAGGGACATGTAAATTCATGTCTTTGATGCATTATTCAAACATTCTTTTGAACTTCCTGATGTTTTGTGAACTCCTTTGTCTGACTCCTCCACACTCCGGCTTGCATGCATGATATCCTGGCTGTCAGGTCAATACATTTTATTTCTTCTTGTGTCTCCATCTTGCTGTTTCACATCCTCTGATAAGATTTTAGTATGTTCCCGTAATTTTATCATGGTAGTCTAATTGTCCTCTGGCGCTCTGGTTTCTGTCACCGTCATTTTACCCCGGGCTCCCGCAGGGCCGGCAGCAGCAGTGACCTCTCTGCGTGTCCCTTGCAGGGTGCCATCAGCGCGCCTGTGAAGCTGTTCCCGAGGCCGAGCTCCCGAAGGATCTATCAGCACTCCTAATGTCTAGGGAGCAAGGTGCTGTTTATTCCAGGAAGAGAGATGCCGGCTGTGAGCTGGAGGAGAGTGAATTGTGCTCCATTGGTGGAGTTGTGAATGAGGCCCTGGACAAGAGGTCAGAAACAGGGAATACATGCAGAAGATCGCTGGGTGAGTGCATGGCCACCACCCCATGGCCTCAAGGCAGGCACCAGTGCCACCTCTCAAGGACAGGACGGACAGGTGTGTGGCTGTTTCCCGAGGTCTGGAAGAGGCCTCGTGCTCTGCTGGGCCCCAGCAGTGGCTGGAAGCAGCAGCCCCAGCTGCCCCAAGGCTGTGCAGTTCTCCTGCCGCAGCCTGTCCCCACAGCTGTGTCCCTGCCTGTGGCCAGAGCTGTGTCCCTGCCTGTGGCCAGGCTCTTGGCTCTCTGGCTGCCAGCTGAGTGAGGGCCACACTGGCTGAGGGGTCCCTGCTGTGCTCCCTGGCCACGGGTGAGCAGATTCCAGGGCCGGCTCTGCTTCTGGCAGCCAGCAGCTCTTTCCTGCTCCAGGTCAATGGATCAGGAGCCATCCCGTGGGCACGGTGGTGCTGATTCTGCTGCTCCTGGTGCTGCTGCTGGCTTTGGGGGTGGCCTTGGCTGTGCAGTCAGGTAAGGGAGGGGCAGCAGCCTGGGCCCAGCCCCTCGGGGCAGAGCGGGCTCCCTGCTCCCTGCACAGGGGAATCCTCACGCCTTCTCCTCTTCCCCCTGCAGCAGCAGCAGCAGCAGCACAGGTTCCAGTCACACCTGTGACTCCGCTGTTGGTTCTGGGCTGTCCCCGCTTAATTTCAAAATTATAATAATTCGAAGGGAGGGATTTTACATGTTCCGTTGCAAGGGAGGCTCCTGCCTTCCTTAGCAGATCCCTGGCTTTCACACCAAGACACCCCCATCCCTCTGTGCCACGGTGTGGGGAGGAGGGAGGGAAGGAATTGGGAAGAGATTGAAACCCAGGAAAGAGAAAGCACTGTGGGGTAGGTGCATTTTTAGGATTTGGTGCACTTCTCATTCCCTTGGGCAGATTTGTTTGACAATAAATTCAATTAAAATTCATTTCCCAGGCCTGTTCTGCCCATGATGGGTGGGAGATCTCTCGGTGCCTCTACTGAGAGCCGGGAGCCTTTCCTGCTGTGTTCTGTTGCCTGCCCAGGGGCAGCAGCAGAGGCACAGAGCGGTTTTGCTGCCCCGGGCCCTGGCCTGGCCCGGCCCAGCCCAAGAATCCCTGCCATCATTCCCTGCACCATGACCCGGCCCCACGGCGGCTCCGGGAGTTCAGAGGGGCAAAATGGGAGCGAGGGAGAGCAGGCAGCTGGTGCCAGTGGCTGAAATGGCTTTGCTTTGGCATATGTTATTATGTCATCAAATATGTTATATAGGCATACTGTATGTTCTATAACATGACTTAGTCAGAAAGTTCCTTGGGATGCAGCCCTTAAAACAAAGGAGTTCAGGAAAGGTGGGCATGCTTCAAAACAGAGACCTTGAGGGCACAGGAGCAGACTGTCCCTGTGTGCCCAAAGAGGAGTCAGCGAGGCAAACATCCAGCCTGGGTGGGCAACGGGGTTTTGAAGGAATTTAGGAATAAAAGGAGGGCGTATCAGCTTTGGAAGGAGGGTCAGGTTTCTCAGGAAGTGTTTAAGGGGGTTGCCAGGGTATGCAGGAGAAAAATCTGGGAGGCCAAAATGATGTCTGAAGTTAAATTGGCAACTTTTGTAAAGGAGAATAAAGAACATTTGTACAAATGTACTAATGGTAAAGGGAAGGGTAAGACCAACCTCTGTTGTTTATTAGATGTGCACCCATTCACAGCAAGGGTGGGAAGGAGGGTCCTGGTGATTACAGGCCAGTCAGCCAGAGTGCTGCAGTTCCTGTTTATTCCATTAAGTTATGGTTAAATGGCTCGTTCATCCTGTTATCCCCCCACGTTTCCCAAGTTGATTTTTCCCTAAGTTGTGCCCTCCCTTAAAGCTGTCCCTCAAGCTACTCCCCTCCCTTTGTTCCAGTCCCTTTCCTGCCTGTCAAGGCAACCCTGCCCCTTTTTCCTGAATGTTCCCTGCCGCTCACCCCTGGGCCAATCCCACTTGGAACACCCACCTGGAACTCCCCTGATCCACGATGCCCCATTGGCCCATGTGACCTTTTTGACCTTTCCCTCTCCTCTCCCTATCCCGATTGGCCCCACAGTGTTGCTGTGATCCCCTCTCTGCTCCCCTGAGCACTCCCTGGTTTCAGCTGCTTGTATCCACCCCCTGCCTTGTATCTGAACAAAACCCCTTGCAATCAGGGCCAGGGGCTCCTTTTGTCCTGCTCCCTCCACCTGGGATAAACTTTCCCCGTGGACCCTCAAGGCAAAGAGCCTCCTCCTTCCTCCTTGGCCTGGTCCCTGCCGTGGCTGTGGCAGCGTGCCCTGTAGAGCTGGCAGCTCTTTGGGGTCAGCTGTGGGCACAGCCCAGGCCCCAGCTGCTCCCACCCCTGTGCTGGCTGCCGGAGTGCACAGAGCCAGCCGGGTTCCAGCAGCTTCGGCAGCAGAGACCACGATGCCACCAGTAAAAATCCCTGTTTGAACTGCAACAGGTTTCATCAAATACACCCAGTTTCCTTAACAACAACAATACCGCGTTTTCGAGCTGTGGCTGGCAGCTCCAGGCAGCTGTGGCCAACATGAGGAAGAGCACAGGAGCAGAAATAGAGATTTCCCAGCTCCCTCCCACAGAGAACAGCACCAGCACAGGGACAGAAAATGCTGCTGTAACATCCCTTCCCAGTGGTCCCTGTGCCCAGCTGTAGGTAGCATCCTTTAGCTAGTGCTCTTCAGTGTTTTCACCCATGGAAATACTGCAGAGGGATGCAGAACATTTACCAGCATGTTAAAAAGAAGCTGAGAGGACAGGAAGGCTGACATTTGGGATAGGGA